ATAAAAACTATAATTAGCGACTTATCGCTTAATTAAGAGAAAAACGAAATAATTTGTTTATAATGACAAATTTATTTGCACTCTCACATGTGAGACGAATTAAACGGCAGCAAATTTGTTTATAAAAGTTCACAGATGCACGCGATATGGCATTTTTCGTTCTTGTTCCTCCACAAGTGGCATTCGAGCGAATGAACTTTAAATTTGCTTTTAATTTTTAAGTAGCGAAGCGTAAATTAAACAATTTTGTTGCATGCAACAAGCAATAAAAAAGTTACCTTTTTTTACTAATTTCTGAAATTTTATTTTTTTTTTCAATTATTGAACTTTGTAAAAAGTGTTTGTATAAGAATTTTTGCTTTTGTGGTTCTTAGTATTTTTATTTATTTATTTATTTTATTTTATTTTATTTTTTTTTTTTTATTTTTTTTTGCGCCAAATTTATTTAGGTTGTGGCTCTGCATATTTGAGCATTTAAAATAGTCGTAAATGCACCTCAACAATTCTCCATTTTGTGTGCTCACGTACGCCAAAATAGGTCGAGGTTGATGATAAAAACAACATACATAACTCTCAGGTAGCATTTCACCTTTAAACTTAAAAAGGCTTTCTGAATAATTCACTTAACTAAACAATTTCCAAGAGAAAATTCTGTAAATTGAAATTGGTTAAGAATTCTTCAGCGCAAGGCGAAAATGTTGTTTCTGGGGGAAGTGAGTTTAATTGATTTCCAAGGATTGCAGGAAGTTCTTGCTCATGTTTATGCTTTTGCGGTTGAAGTGAATGAATGTATTTATTCGAAGGTGCAATTACTTTTTATGAGCTTAACATATTGTTACTTAAAAGTGATAAAAAATGATGTCCTTCGAAATATTAAATTTTTTTTTTATTTTTTTTTTATTATTATTATGTTGAATCTAGTTGAGTCAGTGCACTTGAGCACTTTTACTCTCTATTAATTACTCTCTACTTTTCAAAACTCCTCTCTACGCCTTGACTAGATTATTGTTTGTCACTTCATTAGACTAAGCAATAATTGACGTCAGATCTGCATATCTCGCTGAGGAGCCTGTAACCATTCTGAGATTCGATAACGCGGTGTTATCCTTGAGAATGTCATTCGCCTTATGTACCATGATATCTTGAAAAGTCTTCTCAGAGCCTGTTTTATTTTATTTTATATCTTTTTATTGTTGTATTTTTATTTTATTTTAATTTATTTAATTTCATTTTGATTAGGTTCTATACATAAGGAAGAACATATAAATCATGCAACAAATAATGCCACTACAAACAGAATAGTATTGAAATTTAACAATTAAAAATAAAAATGTAATTAATTAAATCAATTATTCTACAACTGGTTTATGAAACTTTCACATTCAAGTAACAAAACTCCAGAAAAATGTGTGAACATAAAAGTCAAGTACGGCTTTGGGTCAGTTGGTTAATGTGCGCTAACTCTGAGCTTCGCATTTGGCAGGGCACGAGTTCGAATCCTGGTACTTGCAGCTTGAAATAATTATTTACGAATAACTAAATATAAAAAATAGTTCTAAGACCACTGATGATGGGTTTTTGGCAATACTCGAAACGGCTGTATGGTCAGCCATAAATTTAATTAATTAAAATAATATAAAACAAATAAATTTTTATGAATCTATTTTATATAATTTATTTTGATTTATTTTGTTTTATTTTATTAAATTTTATTCTATTTTTTTTCAATTTCATTTTATTCTATTTTATTTTAATTTGTTTTATTTGATTTTGTTTTACTTATTTCATTTATTTTATTTTAGTTTTTTATTTTATTTAAACTAATCAAAACACGATAGAAGGTCTATGTTTAGCAAGTATTTTATTGAATTAAATGAGTCTCCAGCAATTCATAATTTATTTGCCAACTTATTACTTTATCAAGTCATTTGAAATTCTTTCTATCAAAGTAAAACTTATAAATTATTTATATATGCATACAAAATAGTTGCTTAATAAAAAAAATGTTAACAGAGAAATGCAATATGTTGCTTGCTTCAAAAGACAATTACTGGAAAATAGTGGATGATAAAAGAAAGTTTTTTAGCAATAAATATTTGCAATATATTAAAGAATTTTTCAATGAAAATGTTATTGAAACTACTTAACAACAATCTTACGAAAAATCGTGCTTTCCGACTTTTGTGTCAGTAAATCAGGTCATGATATAAGGATATAATTAACTTCAAGCAAAATAGATGAGGGGTGTTTGCTAAATTGGCGTGTTAACACTTTGTTCTGAAGATATCGATTTTTAAGTTAACACGATGAGATAAGCTACTTCATTATCCATTGCTTCGGTTATAGCTTCATGTAGTATTCTTGTTAAGTAATTAACTCTCAAAATGAAATAAAAGAAATTCGATAAATCTGTTTCTTATTGTCTCAAGCCTGTGGGTAAGCGATCTCATCTAAATTTGATCTGATGAGAAAGTGAAGAATCCGCTTTATCTGTAATTTTTGTTAAAGGTCTAAAAAATCATTGATTGAATCCAATATCTTTTTATCACGGAAGTCTTGCTAAATTCGTTTAATGGAGTATACCAGCATTGGCAAATCGATAGAGCAATAACTCAGTGACCTGTTATCACACCCGTAAGCATATGAATTTAGAGTTTGCTAAAACCCAAACGATCTTACATTCCTTTGCTATCTAATCTAAGCCATAGTATCTATGGTGAACACATTAACCAGCGTAAAAACCAAAGCACAAACAGCAACTAACTTAAAGGTCCAGCGTCCATTAATATTTAGCGCGTCTTCAGAGAAGCAAGACAAAAAAAATATAATTACATGTAAAGCAACAAATGTTCGTGGAATAATAAATATTTACAACAAATATTTAAAAGTGTTTTAATTATTAATTAAATGCTAATCTCCTATATTATCAGTACCACATATCTATGCAAATTTGTAGTTGTAATGATAAATTCTTCTATGCTGCTAAACAGTTCAAACATATTAGGGTAAGTGTTGAAATATTGGTTTCACATATGTCCCTTATGGAACTCCTTCGAAACATTTTATTTGTTAGCTCGATCACTCTAAAATTCAAATTCATATATAGGAAATTAACTAAGCGTGATTTTTTCGACTGTTAAGTTCACCTTTTACTACCTTCACATTGGTATACAACTTTATATATCAATCTTTGAGCTAATCAAATGCTTAAATAAAATTTATAGACTTGGTAGACTATGTAAATATACAGGTACTGATACTGATTATATGATATTTTTATGATGATTGTAATAAGTTATGTAGATAATTATTTATAAATATAATAGGTATACATTATCATAATCGGAACTATAATGATGATGCTATGATAATACTGATTGATTAAGTATAGTTAAAGATATATTTCAAAAAATATGTAGTAAGTGAAAGTAAATAATTGTTTTCTAATAAAATAATCTCTGATTTTGCTCTTACTTGTAGTATTAAATTTAAATATTTACATATTTTCAATTTATTTCATTATATGAAATGGAATGTTATATGAGATTTGATACCTTTTTTGACGCACAAAGGTAATTTATTATTCATCAAAAAAATAATAATAACTATAATTCAATTAAAGGCTCTTTGTGCATTTGCTTTTAATAGAAATTATTATTTAAACACATTTAGCATTTCAAATGTGACATTTGTGAATAATCGTATGAATTGCATTGCTTTTATATTAATAAATATTTTGCGCATAGGTCAAACCAATAAATCGCAATTAAACATTGTTCGGCTTGACATTTGGTGCATTTAAAGCACTGCAGCTTAATCCTGTGCCTTAAATCACAGTCCAAATGTCACATAAACATCATGTCAAGTATTCCGCATAGGTTGACTTGTAAAATTATTTCGTAACGCAGAAACATACTCATGAGTACGTTTTGCTTACGTTATTAACCCAAATTTAGTTTAAAAATTTTAAGTGCTTCCTTTGCATATTTGTGACATTAAGCCAGGTCGACTGAAACCTATACGATGGCAGCGTTTTGTAGAATAATTTTCTAAATTGTATAGTTCGCCTTATTACGTCTGCAGCTAAGCTCATGTCACTAATTTATTCAGTATTTTGTTGTTATAATGCCTGCTGGTCTTTTTTTTTATTAGTTTTGGTGCGTTGTTTAGCATAAAAAATATAAAATGCATTGCAGTTCTCAAGTCAGGCACTAAAGTTCATAGGTTACACTAATGATATACGGATATCACAATTATATACGTTATCGTATGTGTGCTGTATGTATATAGTTGTTTTTAGGGAAATATACTTGTAATATTTTTCGTATGGACTTTAATGGCAAATACTGCATAACATTAAAATGTGCATTTAAATTGTGTTGCGGTTGCACCTTCAACTGCACCAAACTGTACTTTTCCCTCAACTTTCAAGTATGTGGACTGTGATTACGGCAATGTTGCAGAAGTCAATTCAGAATTATTGACCAGTAAATACAATAAATACGAACGCCTGTGCACTTGCCTAATTGCACACGTGCAATTTCACCAGAATGCACTTTATGGTATAAAAAAACAACTGCAACAACTGCAACAACAACAACAAAAGCAACAAAAATTGAAAAAATAATTTTAAACATGACTGCATTGCAATAAGGAAAAGTGCTAACGAATTTTTACTAAAAAATTGGAAAAAATCGTGTAGTTTTTCCTAAATTCTGACCACTGGCAATGTGAAAGCTTAAAAATGAGGCATTTGGCCTTGTCTATTCGGAAATTTAAAATAGCAATACCGACAACACCGACAATACCGACAACAGCAAAATAATGAAATAGTCCATTTGTACCAATTTTCAAAGGAAATGCTACGCCCAATTCTACCATTGAACTCATGTTTTGTTTATCCATTTTCGAGCTTGTCGATAAACTGTATTTTCCTAAATAGATGAACTATGAAATTTTCAGAACGTTTCAGTCATTTATTTTTTTTAATTGTTTGACATTTACACAGAAAGTTTTGTGATAATTTTCAATAAATCAAAATCAACTCGGAAATGTTTGTTGGTGTTCATTTTACCTGAAAGGAATAATATTATAATATTATATATTTTTTTTTATTTTTAAATATTTATTCATTTTACAATCAATGTCGGTTTTTGTATGGTTCTAAAATTGATAAAATAATTAAATGTGCAATAAATATATACTTCGGAATATACCTATTGGGTTTATGCAGGTTATTCAAAGTGTGGAACTATGCCCCACAAGGGGCAGAAAAGAAGATAATTAGAAATAAATTGTATTAAAGAAAAATTCATAAATGAACAATGACCCAAAAACAATTAGTATCGCATAGTTTTATAAGACCTCCAAAAAATGTGTCTAATAAGCTTTCAAATTGCTTGCAACAATGAATTCAAAATATTTCTATCAAAATGTGACATCTATCCTGAATCATGCAATTGGCCTTAAAAAGGTCTCATCTGAAACTTACACATTTAAAAGATTCTCCAGTTAAAGATGACCCTAAATCAAAGAGTAATCTACGCCTAGATAAGAGTGATCTCTAA